TTACTATGAATATAAATTTCAGTATTTATTTCTTTATATACATATACTCTGATATTAATTACTAGTTCAATTGTTAATTTTAGTTATATTTTTCAGTTTTAAGATTACCACTGTACTGATTTTTCTACCCAAATTCTTAGGGTTGTCTTTTATTTCCTTGTACATTATAAAGCAAAATTGTCAACAGTCTTTATCATGAAAGAATGTTGAATTTTAAGATAATCATAGGGTTTTTCCCGTTGTTCTGTTAATGTAGTATATCATGTTTATACATTTGCATATGTTGAACTATCCTTGAATCCCTGGGATGAACCACAACTTAGTACTGAGTAATCCTAATGAACTGCTGGATTTGGTTTGATAATTTTTTATTGAGGATTTTTATTTCTCTTCTCTTCAGATATTGACCTGTAATTTCTTTGTTGTAGTGTCTTTGGCTGGTTTTGGTATCAAGATGATGCTGGCCTTGTAGAATAGGTTTGGGAGAATTCCCTCCACTTCATATTTTATATAACTTAAAAAGAACCGGTATTAGTTCTTTTTAAATGTTTTAAAATATTCAGCAGGAAAGCCCTTTGGTCCTAGGCTTTTCCTTGATGGGAGGCTCATTACTGATTCAATCTCATTACTCATTACTGTTTTGTTCAGCTTTTCTATTTCTTCATGCTCCAATCTTGGCAAGATGTATGCATCCAGACATTTTTCCATTTCTTGTGGTTGTCAAACCTTTTTTCATATAGTGTTTTTATAACAGTCTCTAATGATGCTGTGTGTTTATGTGATATCAATCGTAATATCTTCTTTTGTCTCTAATTTTAGATATTTGAGTTTTCTTTTTTCTTAGTTAATCTAGCCTAGGGTTTGACAATTTTATCTTTTTAGAAAACCAACTCTTCTTTTACAGATCTGTAAATTTTTAGTCTTGAGTTCATTTTGGCTCTGATCTTTATTACGTATCATTTTCTGATTTTGGATTCATTTTATTCTTGTTTTTCTAGTTACCTGGGATGCAATGGTATGTTGTTTATTTGAAATCTTTTTGCTTCCTTGATGGAGAAGAGTAGTGTTATAAGTATCTTCCTTAAAATTGCTTTTGCTATATCCCATAGTTCTGGTATGTTGTGTTTTCATTATCATTTTTTCAAGAACTTTTAAAATATCCTTCTTAATTTCTTCATTGATACGTTACTTGTTCAAAATATATTGTTTAATTTCTATGTAGTTTTATAATTTTCAAAGCTTTTCATGTTTCTTTAATATTTATTGTAAGACAGATTTGCTGGTGATAAATTGTTTCAGCTTCTGTTTATCTAGGAATATCTTTATCTCTCCTTCATTTCAGAAGTACAGCTGTGTTGCTGCAGAATTTTTGATTGGCAATGTTTTTCCCTTCGCATTGTGAATATAGCCTTCCACTCCCTCCCATCCTTAAAATTTCTTCTGAGAAGTCTGTCGTTCAGTGAATTGGAATATCCTTATGTGTTGTTTCTTTTGTCATGTTGTTAGAATCTTTGCTTTGTCTTCAGTGTCTGAAAGCTTGATTGTAATGTGTCTCAGGTAGACTTTGTTGGGTTGAATCTGAGCAGGCTTATTGCAATCCTCTCTGGGTTTGGAGTATTTTCTGATATTGTTTCTTTGAATAAACCTTGTTCTCTTTTGGCATTTGTAAATCCCTTTTCTTTTTGTATTAAATTCTTTTATTGGTACATTGTAGGTACACAACACAATTACATTCCTCACTGGGAATTGTACCTGTGCATCATGCATCTTGGTTCTTATTTTTTCCCCATTCCCTGCCCTCCCTTCACCCCCTCCACCCTTCCCTATTTACAAAGACTTT